GTTTGATAATGGTTTTATTTTATTTTCCTTTTCAAAAGAAGAAAAAGAAATAAAGAGTTATTGAATTGGACTACCTCTATGGAGCTAAAACTTTTATTTGGATAATGTCATGTTTTTTTTTCATTAACAATGTTGTAACATCTACGAGCGCTGACGAGAGCGGGAAATGATCGTCTGTGCAAAGAGACACGGACAAGGAGCGGCTCCTGACAGGCTTCCAGCTGGGGGTTATATGCATGAATGAATCGAATCGACACACGAAAGAGAGGGATTCCAAAGACTGTACAGGTATGAGACTGCACAATTTGAGATAGCTTATAAGAATTAATTGGTACTACCTATACTAACAAGATGTATCTACTTTTCGGTAGCCCGAAACGGAAGAACTCCATAGTTAAGCGTGCTTGACTTGGGGCAATTCTGGGATGGGTGACCTCTTAGAAAGTTTTCCAGGGAAGTGTGCGAGTGAGGACAAAGCATGCTGAAAAGTCTCGTGTTAGTGTGTGGGGACAGTCGTTGATCATTGCAAGTTGCCATGCGTTACAAGTGGTATCAGAGAAGGGCTTCTCTTCCAATACGGTGTGGTTCGAGGACGAAACAGGCGGAAGCTGGTGGGCATGTAACATCCCGAGCGCTGACGAGTACAGAGAGTGATTGCTGGTGCAAAGAGGCACGGACAAGGAGCGACTCCTGACAGGCTTCCAGTGGGGGGTTACATGCATGAATGAATCGAATCGACACCCGAAAGAAAGGGATTCCAAAGACTGTGCAAGTATGAGACTGCACAGTTTGGGATAACTTATAAGAATTAATTGGTACTATAATGACCCTCACATTTATTATGGATTTAATATTGAACGATAATTATAAAGAAAATGAAATAAAGTCATGTTTGGTGAAAAAGGAGTTAAAATAACAGTTAAGGGATAAAAATGTGGGTAAACAAAGTTACCCGAAAAGTGAAAGTAAAGTTAGAAATATGACTAGAAAAATATTCTAGTCTAGTGGGTAAAGTTTGGTAATGAATGGAAGTGTGTAGATAGATAAGCTGTTACCCAGTTAAAGTAACTTAAATTTACACACCGTCAATTCCTTTTTTTCTAACCTTCCTGCGCGCTGAGGTTTCTCATTTCCTCTCTCTATGTGCTCGATGTTTCCATGGATAAAGGGGGGGGTTAGTTTTCAAGTTTTCTTTTCTTTGATTTCTCTCTTCACAAGCATCCAAATGAAAAAGTTCATTACATGAAATCAATAGGAAATCATCCAATGAATTTGTTCCACCCCTTATTTTATGCTGAAATTGCTTGTAGAAATAGCTATCCTCTTCCCCCAATTCGGATTACTATTCATCAATGAGAAAAATGGTGGTTTTTCATGGGGCTTTGCTTGGAGGTTGTTCTCTAGGCTTGGTATAAGGGATTAGAGGTGATAAATCTTCATTTCCATGGTTTAAATTTTGTGATTTATGTTTTGAAATTTTGAAGTATGTTTTGGTGGAAATTTTGAGTTTGAAATTGGAAATTTGTGATGAATTAGTGTTGTGTAGTAAGTTGTAATGTAGAATAACCATGAACATATGTTTAAAAAATTAAGAAAAATTCCCTTGAAGCACCCTAGAATTCAGCCATAATAGGGACTTAGGCTTGATGTGCAAAAAATTTAATTGTATAAATTGTGAAGGTTTGAGTATTGGTGTATGTTGAGATTAAGTGTGAAAGTGAGATTACTTTGTGGAAAATCCCTTGGAAACCTACCCTATGCATTTCGGCCTTTAGGGTATTATTGGAAAAATTATGTTAAAGTTATTTTAGTGATGCATTTAAGTCCTAATGCATGATTTAAGTATGATTTGGTAGTTAAATGGTTTAAGGCAAAATGAGAGGCACCTTAGCTCCCTTGTATGAGTTGCCATGACTTTGTGAACAAAAATTAGGCAAAGTTAAACTTAAAAAAAATTTGTTATGAGAATATATGAATAATTTAGGGGCTAAGTGTGGGTTCTACGAACCAATGATTGTGTAAAAAGAGTTGATGAAAATTCCTAGTTTTTCTTGGTATTGGTTTCGGCGATTGCATGAATTCTGCAACTAGGAAATGTTAAAAATTGTAAAGATTATGTTAGAAGCTTGGTTAGGTCATTTAAGGACCCTAGGTAATTATGAAACCGGGTGGTTGCTTGTGTTACGAGTAATCATCCGTAAATGTGTTAAATAATGATCTTAAGAAATGATGGTCTTGACTTGTAGATTGGCATAATGTGAAGAAATGAACATAAGCAATAAGATGTATGTCTTGTGTAAATTTCATGGCATAGTAACATTTTATTGATTTCGTTTTGAATTCTTTCTCTAGGTGTGCCTAGGGACTAAGCGTGTTTGGATTCCTTTGGAGCTAAATAGGTAACTTGTGTTACAAGTGAGCAAATTCATAAAGCTTCAAAAGGTAAGCTCTATGTTTATGGGGTTCGCTCCTACTTTTTGTTCCGCCATAGTGTATGGATTGTGGTCAGGTTGTATGATATGTATGAGATATATGATATAGATGCATTCATATAGAGCTATATGATGATGTGATATGATATGTTTTGATGTGTTTAATTTGATATGTTTTGATGTGTTTAATTTGATATGTTTTGATGTGTTTACTTTGATATGTTTTGATGTGATTTCTGTAATGATCTCTGGCCATTGATTCTATATGCACTGATGTCCGCTTGGGGTCCTCCCTTGGGACTGACTGCATATATATCTGTTATATGTTGAGTTCCGCTTGGGGTCCTCCCTTGGGAACATGTGCACTGATTTCCGCTTGGGGTCCTCTCTTGGGATTGACTGTGTACAGCCCTGTTATGTGATGATCTCTGGTCATTGATCTTATGTGCACTGATGTTTGCTTGGGGTCATCCCTCGGGACTGATGGTGTACACCTCTGATATGTTCTGATTTTGCTTGGGGTCCTCCCTTGGGAACACGTACGTTGATTTCCGCTTGAGGTCATCCCTTGGGAATGACTGCGTACGTCTCTGATAAGATATGTTTTGTTCTAATGTGATTATTGTGATGATTTTGTATATGATATTTGTTACGTACGTTGATCCTCGCTTGGGGTCATCCCTTGGGAATGACTACGTACGTCTCTGATAAGATATGTTTTGTTCTGATGTGATTATTGTGTTGATTTTCATAAATGAATTTATGTGCGTTGATTTCTGCTTGGGGTCCTCCCTTTCAAAATACTACGTGCATCTCTGATAAGATATGTATATATGCTCAGTTTAGTTATGATATTTGTTACGTGCGTTGATTTTCGCTTGGGGTTCTCCCTTGGGAAATACTGCGTGCATCTTTGATAAGATATGTGTATATGTTTGTTTAGCTATGATATTTGTTTATATGATGGTTTGTATATTATGTATCTGAATGTCATGCAGGAAGTGAGCCCAGGGCATGGAGAGTTTTCCATAAACCTGGAGCTTACTAGAGATTCGTCTCTAACCCCGTTTGGGGATATGATTTCAGGAACACAGTTAATTGAAGAGCCCTATTGGGACAAGGACACTACCCGTGGCTAGAGGTACTAGTATGAGGATATGGAGTTCTGGGTGGCCGGGCGCTACTATTTATTATAGATGTTATTTTTGAAGAATATGTACTGTTGTGTAGTCTTCTATTCATTTTGGGATCATGATGTTTGATCCATTATATAATATATGGTCCGTATATGTTTTGTACATGTGTTCATATTTGATGCATGTACATTTGTGTATTCAGATATGTGCATGTGCTAAAATATGTATGTTGTTAGACATAGTGGCACGAAGCCAGTTATGCATGCACCCATGGATGGGTATATAGTCCTTGATAGATATCTGGTATTTCTGAAATTATATATGGTATAAACTGTTTATCAGAAACCTTTGAGAGTGGGATTGACAAATCCCCAATTGTCTAATTTATAGAGGTTACTCTGCCCGATTTTCGTCTTCGTCAAATACGAATTAAATTAGGAGAAGTATGCAATGTGAGATATCATGTGAATTAAGATTAATGAAAAATAAAAGAAAAAGTCGGCTCGTATTTTCGTAAGTTAAGTCTTCCGTTGTTTCTGTTTGTATCATATGTATGTTAATTGAATCGGCTCGAGACGGGGATGTTACAGGTACTACCTATACTAACAAGATGCATCTACTTTTCGGTAGCCCGGAACGAAAGAACTCCATAGTTAAGCTTGCTTGACTTGGGGCAATTCTGTGATGGGTGACCTCCTGGGAAGTTTTTCCGGGAAGTGTGCGAGTGAGAACAAAGCATGCTGAAAAGTCTCGTGTTAGTGTGTGAGGACAGTAGTTGATCCTTGCAAGTTGTCAGGCATTACAAATGTCATTATCTTTTTCTTTTCTTTTCTTTTTTTTGCTAGGCCATATTATTTAATTATGACTAATTATTTTCTTACTATTTATATAAAAAATTTAAAAAATATTTATTTATTAACAATGTGATCACACACAAGTCAATTGCAGTTAGAACAATGAACCTTCCAATTAGGCTCTTATTTACAGTTCCATCATAGCCCAATTTTCTCCATCATCCTTGAACAATTTCTCATTGACAGCTAAAGATGTGGACCCTTAGTTGACCAGCAAGTCATCTGCAACCATATTATCCTATCTCTGCTTTTGGCGTGTGGTGAAAGTTATAGAACAGCATCTTAATCATCAATATAATTTCTATTCATTTGGAAGATCATTTGGACGGGGGCAAGTAATCCAACAATTCCTGAGTTTCAATAGTACGTTGTCTTTTTTTTTCTTTTAACAGCTTTCTTGGGATTCCATGTTTTACTTTAGTTAATATACATGCTCTTGACCAATGAATATATCGTTATGCTGCTCATGTTTTCTTAACTACTCTTAGAACCTAAATATCTTATATGTGATGTTTTACAATTAATAATTGTAACTCAATCTTAGTATAAATCATATTTTTCATCTAATTCCGCTTGAATTTTCTTTGATCTTGTTTGAACATGAATTAGACTTTATACAACTTAATATACATACAAGATTTGCAATTCTAATTAGCCTTTTCCTCATTCAGCATAGGTGCTACACTTAGTAATAACCTTATGAGGTTGGGGTGTGATCTTTTTGAGTGCTGCTTCGCTAGCTCTTCTTCTGGCAAATTTCCAAAGCATAGTAAGTTGAAGTGGCCAATCCTTCCCTATAAGAAACTTGCAAAAGCAACAGATAATTTTGATCAATGTCATATACTTGAGAAGAGAGGCACAGCAACAGTATATTATGGTAAGAGACTAGGCCATAGCCTTTTATATGAAAAAAATGTAAGCACAAATTTTTCTTCTGATGATTTACTATGTTATAGGCAAACTTGAAGATGGGCGTGAGATTGCAGTCCAGTGCTTTCATGAAGACAAGCGTCACATATTAGAACAGTTCATCAATGAAACTGTTATCCTAAATTACTTGCCTCACAAAAATCTTGTGTCAATTTACGGGTGGGCCTCTCATCCCAAGGAATCCATGCTAGTACACGAGTACCTATCCCATGGGACTCTTTATGCTTATCTTCAAGGTGATATAACAAAATATAACACTGATTGGCTTACCAGATTGAATATTGCCATTGATACTGCAAATGCATTGGACTATCTTCACTATTATGGCATCATCCACCGTAATGTAAAGTCCAACAATATATTTCTAGATATGAACTTTTGTGCTAAGGTTGGTAACTTTCATTTATCAAGAAAACTTCCAGAGGGTGTTTCTGTCTATGCTACCCATGTTACAAGTGAAATAATAGGATCACGTGGTTATATAGACCCAGATTATGTGTCAAAAGGTTGGCTTAGTGTAAAAAATGATGTTTATAGCTTTGGGGTGTTGTTGTGTGAGCTTATATCATCAAGGCTTGCAAAATATTGGGTTCGGAGTGAAGAGGATAGTCTTGCTACCCTTTTAAGCAGAATTGTTGAAAACCAAGCTTTGGTTGAGCTGGTGGATCCAAGACTTGGCTTCCAATCAGACCTTAAGATCAAGCGGATGATAACTGCTACGGCTGAGCTTGCATTTAGGTGCTTGCAATGTCCACAAGAATTAAGGCCAAACATGGAACAAGTGCTAGAGATTCTCAATGGCATAAGGCAAGGGAGATATGAAACAAACCCAATAAAAGGTGTTTAAGACCATCTTTTGTCCCTTTTCCACTCTCATGGCTTTCAGCTACTATGTGTTTTGGTGTTAACTTAACAGACTGTGGATTGGAACAATGACCATTTTGCCATGCCTGGCCAAAATATTTACCAGACTGCCACGCCAACAGTAAATTTTCTCAGAATGTCACGTGGCATAATTCGCTATACTGTGCAGTGAATTATGCTTGCAAATAATTCGCTACACAATGTAGCGAATTATGCCATGTCAGGCTGCACAGTCAGCAGTAATGACACATGTCAAGCAGGCAGTAATCCAAGCATAATTCACTATACAGTGTAACGAATTACTGCCTGCTTGACACGTGTTATTTTTGCTGACTGTGCAGCCTGACATGGCATAATTCGCTACACTGTGTAGCGAATCATTTGCAAGCATAATTCGCTGCACAGTGTAGCGAATTATGTCACGTGACATCCTGGAAAAATTCATTGTTGGCGTGGCAGTCTGGTAAATATTTTGGTTAGGCGTGGCAAAATGGTCACTGTCCCCTGTGGATTAAAGTTTTTATTAATGCCTTTTTATAATCCTTCCATCTCAGCTTTCAAAATCTTCCACTTTGCTGAACTTGAAGAAGCTACTAACCATTTTGACACTTGCCTTGGAAGGGGAGGATTCGGCATAGTCTACTATGGTAAGAAGCTAAAAACACCTCCGTGCATATTTTAAAGAACAAATATGATAAGTGCACATCTTATTTTTGTTATCAAATTTACACTTAGTCTCAATCTCTGGTGTATTGTTCTTGTAATCAGTCCCTAATAATTCATGGATATGTGTTAGGAAAACTTCAAGATGGGAGAGAGGTTGCAATAAAACGTTACCATGATGAGACAGACAAAACCATTAAGCAATTCATGAAAGAAATTGAGATCTTAAGTCTCTTGGACCATCCAAATCTGGTTTCACTTTATGGCTGCAGTTCTCGTCATAGCAACAAACACATGCTAGTGTTTGAGTACATTTCCAATGGCACTCTTTCTAAGCATCTTCATGGATCTTCTTGTGGTAAACTACCATGGCCTAGTAGATTGAACATTGCCATTGAAACTGCAACTGCCTTGGCATATCTTCATGACTCAGGTATCATCCACCGAGATGTGAAAGGAAGCAATATTCTTTTGGATGAGAATTTCACTGTCAAAGTTGCAGATTTTGGACTCTCAAGGTCTCTCCCAGAGTATGTTACTCGTGTTTCAACTTTTCCAGTAGGAAGTGGTGCTTATATAGATCCAGACTATTATGAATCTGGAAGGGTCAGTGACAAGAGTGATGTCTATAGCTTTGGGGTGGTATTGTTTGAGCTCATATCATCCAACCCTCCAAGTTTAATGGATGGCACAGAGTGTGTGACTCTTGCCCAGTTTGCAATGAGTAAAATGTTAAACAAGGCATTAGAGGAACTAGTGGATCCAAGTCTTGGGTTTGGTTGTGACAAAGATGTAATGGAAATGATAACAGCAGTGGCAGAGTTAGCATTTCAGTGTGTGCAGTGTCCCAAGGAACTCAGACCATCCATGAAACAGGTGCTAGAGACTTTGGAGGGCATAAAGAAGGGGACATGGGGATTCAACCAGATAACATAGTCTTTAATTTATGCTAAAACCTCGGAAGCCATCTATTGAACCATTCGTTTGTGTTCCTTTTCTTTTATTGGATTATCAAATCTGAGTTTGAAAACTAAAATTTCTTGCACCAATAATCTTTTTAAACTCGGAGTGATGGCTAGTATTGCATCAATCCATTGAAAATATCACACAGTATAATACTCGATAAGTTATGTTTACAGCAGGATATGAACAATAAATTTTATATTGTTACGAAATAAATAGATGTTTCACTCCATACCTCTACACCTTCTCCGTTATAAATAGGGTAACCACCTGTATAGGTGAATTACTGTTCACGTACTAGCTTTTTTCCCCAAATACTGTTTATGGATACTGTTCATACATGTGATTACTGTGTATAAATACTGTACAAATAATAAAAATTCTTTTCTATAAATAGGGAATTCCTCTATTGTTCCCTACAATTAAAACTGAATACATTTTTTTTTCTTTTTGGAATTCTACTCATTTCTCCTATATTTCCTTAATTTTATTGGAATGCTACAAAAGTGTGTTACGAATTTTTTAGTTTTTATTTTATTATCTTGCTATTGTTGCTAGACTAGTATTTGAATTTGTTTGAATAAGTCTTGATAGTTTTCACGAGCCTAGCAAAGTGGGTAGAGGTAGTTTTAGGTGGTTCCTATTTTCATGCATTATGGCTTTCATGTGTAATTGTCTATTTAATTAGAGTTTTTGATTAATAAAACATAACAGTTGAAAATATTAGTTTGGCACTGTATGCAAGCAAGAGGTCAGGCTTCCTCAGTAAAGCCACCATTTTTTCTTTCTTTTTGCTTTGCCATATCTTTGTTTTGCTATCCTTGTGTTACAAAAATAGCCAAGATAGAGAATAAAACCCAAAGAGAAACTCTTGTACGTACTAGCTTGGTATCAAAGCACAGGCATGGATGAACGTGTAGAGAGATTGGAAAATGCCATCCAGTCCTTGTCGGAACAATTTAAGGAAATGTTCGTTCAACTTTCCAATAGGTTGGATGTTATGGCCACCACACCAACACGTCAAAAAAAGGATCATTCTGGAAGCAGCTCCCACAATGCTTCAGAATCGCACAATGCTTCAGAATCGCACAATGCTTCAGAATCTCATGCAACATACGCTCCCAAGGTGGTCAAGTTGGATTTTCCGCGATTCAATGACAATGAAGACCTAACTAGTTTGGCTATGCCGAGCTGAACAATTTTTCCAATATCATCACACCTCAGAAGAAGAAAGAGTTTCACTAGTATCTTTCCATTTCACATGAGATGCTCAGTTGTGATACCAATTACTCATCCAAGACCATTCCCATATCACTTGGTTGGAGTTTCGGGAAGAAATACTGCATCGCTATTGGTGATTTCTTTGGGGAATTGACCAAGTTCGAGCAACATGGTACGATGCAAGAATACCAAAGCCAATTTGAGAAATTGCTCCCCAAGGTTGGACGATTGGAGATGTCAAGGCAAGTAAGTTGCTTCATAAGTGGACTCTCTGAGACTCTTCGGACAGATATGCAAGCAAATCGACCCACTTCCTTATCTAATGCTATTGTGCTTGCCAAATTGTATAAGGCACGAAATAGCCAGATCTCCCCAAATACCACAAGTCCAACCCTTTCCCTCATGAATAACCCAACCCGGAGTGAAAATCCACCGATCAAACAATTATCCTTTGATGAAATCTCGGAACGAAGACGGAATGGTGCTCTCGTTGTAATGAGACTTATGCATTGGGTTGCCGTTGTAAGAAGTTAGTCGGAATTCACGCTGTCATGGAGGGTAGGGACGGAGAAGCTGAGATAGAGCTCAAAGAGAAGCCGCCCGATATGGGAAAATAGAATAAAAATATAAGGAATTACTCTTGAGGACAAGAGTAATTTTTAGGGAGAGGGAATGTTACGAATTTTTTAGTTTTTATTTTATTATTTTGTTATTGTTGCTAGACTAGTATTTGAATTTGTTTGAATAAATCTTGACAGTTTCCACAAGCCTAGCAAAGTGGATAGAAATAGTTTTAGGTGATTCCTATTTTCATGCATTATGGTTTTTATGTGTAATTGTCTATTTAATTAGAGCTTTTGATTAATAAAATATAACAGTTGAAAATATTAGTTTGGCACTATGTGCAAGCAAGAGGTTAGGCTTTCTCAGCACCATCTTTTCTTTCTTTTTACTTTGTCATTTCTTTGTTTTGCCATCCTTGTATTACAAAAATGACCAAGATAGAGAATAAAACCCAAGAGAAACTCTTGTACGTACCAGAGTGAGAGCCCCATGACCCCAACCACAAATCTAACAACTCCAACCACAGCCATATCATCACCGTCTTCAACCACCATCCTCCGCCGTATTACCCTCATGGGTACCAAGCAGTTCCCGATTATGCAGTTGCTGAAGGAAGACCTGCAAGAGAACGCCGCTGTTCGCTGCTCCACCGAGAACCTCGTTCTCTGCAACCTCTGCGACTCGGACGTTCATGCCTCGGTGGCACCGCCGCTCCATCACCATCACCACTGCCTCGAGGCACTCTCCGGCTGCCATTCCGTTCTCGAGATTGCAGGGCCTCTCTTTTTCCTTCCTCTCTTGAAACACATAACGAGTAAATGTCAAGATGACAAATAAATCTAAACATGTCCCGTTTTTCCATTTTGGATCTATTATTACCCATTTATATTCAATATTGTTATTATCTCCTTTACTTTGAAAATGCCTCTAACTACTCATGTTTGTTTTTGCTATTATTTTCTTTAATATAATTAATTGTGATGGACCTGATGCACTGTAACCAAATGATATGGATTGTGGGATTTGTTTGATATAATAGGCTATACGGATATATTACATTTTTGCCATAGCATATTTCTTTTTGATATTTAATGTTATTGTGCATTTGTGACTTAATTTCAACATTGTATAAATATAAATACACTTTTTTTTGTTTTTGGTAATCAATATATATACACTTCTACTCTTGAAATAGTAGTAAGAGTTTAGAAATCTTTATTGGATATTTGAGAAATTATGCCTCTGATTGATTTGTGTTTTCAAATACAGTTTTTAAATTTTAAAAACAATAAAATAAAAAATTTTGTTTGAAAAGAATGTTTTCATGCATCTTGTTTTAAAAACTGTGTCTGTGTTCAACTTCAGCATGTTTCCCAAAGTTGTTTCCTGGTTTCTTGTTTTGTGCGGTAGCATTTATGTAAATAAGGGGATTCATTAATGACATTTTGGTAATTAAATCAATTTTTTTATTTTAAATTATTTTGAGATGGAAATCTTGTAAATATAAGGGTTCATTAATAGCATTTTTGTAAATAACTACATCTTCTTTATAACTTTTAAACTAACCCTATTCAAACAAGTTTTATTGTTTTTTTATCCTCAACATCAGTTTTCAAACTTTATTCTCAAAATAATTCTTAAAAACAAAAACACATTCAAACACACCCTATATCATTTTGTTTTTGAAACAACAGTGAATATTTAACAATAATCCTTATTACTAATTTAAGAATTTGTCAGCATAGTAATATGTCAAATGTTGAAAAAATAAATTTTCACATCTTAAAGTGGGTGAAAATAATTATAATTTTATATCTATTGGTTCAAAAGTATTGCTTGAAGCAATTGTCAAATTTATGAAAGACTCTAGCTATTTTAAGGGCTATAAGCACTAGAAATGACACAACCTCTTAAAGGATGATAGAAAATTCAACATTAGGTCAAATTATGAAAAGGAAATAAGTCAAACAAAAATAGATAATGAAATGAATATGACTAATTAAATTAAAGACAAGCATGGTGAATCTCATGGAAATTACTCCTATTGCCATAACCACTTATAAGACAAACAATATATTTGTCGGTTCTTGCTCCTGAAGTGCACATACATATTTAGATTAATGTTTCTTATTTTTTTATTGGTTTTAACATTTCTAAAGTGAATGTAGATAAGTTATCTACATTCGTTCCCAAAACGACGTAGTTTTGGATTAAAAAATTAAAAAATTATAATGAAAAAGACTATTATAATTCTGAAATAAATTATAATTACAAAAATATCTTGATTTTCGCCTCAAAATGACGTCGTTTTGGGCTCAATGTAGATAAGTTATCTACATTGACGGTAGAAAAAGTGAACCATTTTTATTTTATATTGATTTAATTCATTGCTTAATTTTTATATATTTTATTTATGGTGATTTTATTATTGAGAAACATAATTTGTCTTACATTAAGCTTGCTAATTTTGCTAACTTCTTCCCACTTATTTTATCTACAATGTGCTTGATTAACATTTAATCCAATCATTTGTATTAAGCCTCTCATGTAATTCATCTGAATTATATAAGATTAAATAATTAATAGTATACCATTAGACGTATTATAAATCAGGGTTATTATTTTACAACTTAAAAGGGAACGGTTATAATTTAAGACGGATCCTCTTACCATCAAAAAAGTTTACAACTCTTACAACCAATTTAATTACCGTTGATTTTCGTCAATCTAACAGTTATAATTTATTAGCAATTAATAAATGTGACACAATAAATGTTATTAATTTTCAATAAATTATAACCGTTAGATTGACGGAAATCAACGGTGATTAAATTGGTTGTGAGAGTTGTAAATCTTTTTGGTGGTAAGTGGATCATCCCCCATTATAAAATACTAGAGTGGTTTCTTGTTTAATTGGTCATAGTCATAATTTATCTAATTTCTTTGTTTATGTTCTTTACCATAGTTGTTCCTCTTCCATTTATATTTGTTTAAGAACCTCACTGCAACTGAGTCATCGATTACCAATAGTCATTGACTTATGCTTTCATGATAGATAGTCTACTTAGCCAAGACAGCATTCGCAAATACTAGTAATTACAATTTTTTTTTCCTTTTAAAAAAAAATCATCAATGTAGCTGATTAGCAGGTATACCACCAAAGCATAGGAATGGTTGATTAAAAAATATTAAACAATATTTTCACTTCTAATAAACCTTTTTCTATCTTCACTCTCATGGCATCATCCACTCTGATATAACTTCAGGCAATATTCTTCTAGATAATAACTTTTGTGCTAAAATTTCTAACTTTCTATTATCAAGGAAACTTCTCGGAGGGAGTTTGTGCCAATGTTACTACACATGTTACAAGTGATATAATAGGAACATCTGGTTATATCAGGAACATGGCTGCAGTGGCGGACCTACCTATACGCCAATGTCCGCAAGTGCGGACATAAACTTCTGGAAATTTTTTTTTTTTACAAAATTGACGAAGAAAAAATGAAGAAGAAGTGACGGCGGCTTACAACTGAGTGTATGGAAATGTTAAATGTGAATATTAGATTTTGTAAAAATTGGGCCGGTTCAATCTTTTTTTAACTTAATGGGTCAAATCTAACTTAATACCCTGACTTAATGTGAATATTAGGCTTACAGAATTGACCAATGCTTTTTAAACTCAATG